TCGCATAGTTTTTCTGTCGATCATGGGTAGCTTTCTACCGAGGTCGAATCACTTTAATTTTATCCACAGTAGCTTGCACTATTTCAGGCCCTTCAAGTTGTTTCAAGCCCTCTTCACCCCAACATACCAGATTCTATATTTTCGCCTGTATAACGCTTCATATGGTGTCATCCCAATTCTACTATGATATTGGTTGTTGTATAAAAATTCTATCAACGATAAATGTTCATCCCATGAGCCATGGAAATCCATGACACAAGCCCTTAACATTTCTTCCAAGGTGAGTATGGTGTGCTCATATTGCCTATCGGTTTGTGGATGAAAGGCAATAGAAATTTTGAATTTAGTACCCAAAGAATTTGTAGGCCTTGCCAAAAATGTGAGGTAAACCTCGGATCTCAGTTAGATACTATAAATATGGGGGTACTCCATGTAATCGTACGATCTCTTCTATATACCTTTTCGCCAGATGCTCCAAAGAACAACCCCATCTGATTGGAATAAAGTGAGCCGACTTGGTTAGTCGATCCACAATCACCCAGATGACATCATTCTTCTTTTAAGTTCTGGGCAAACCATAGAGAAAATCAATAGTAACCTTTTCCCACTTCCATTCTGGAATGGGTAATGGTTGTAACTTCCCTACAGGTGCGTGGCGTTCAGCTTTCACTCGTGAACATACTAGACATGTCAACACATACCTTGTCACTTCCTTTTTCATTTTAGGACACCAATAAGGTGATCTCAATGAAATGTACATTTTTGTTGCACCTGGATGCATTGCAGAAGGTGAGAAGTGAACTTTCTCCAAGGTCTCCCTACGCAATTCATCCACATTAGGAACACATAATCTGTCATTCAATGAAAGAACTTCATTTTGGAATTCAAACTTTCCATGCTACCCATTTTTAATCTCCTCAATTATCTTGTTAAGAAAAGGATCATGATTTTGACTATACTTGTAAAGTAGCTAATAAAACCCCATCATTATCCACACTAAGATTTGCTTTCAATGCCCGTAAGGTTAGCATTTCCCGAGTGGGATTAAGTGCTGAGTATAAATCCAAGTGTTTTGATTTTCGGCTGAAAGCATCAACTACAACATTGGCTTTACCTTAGATTCCATCATCTTCTTCACCTTAGATTCAATTCTTTTTGCTCCATCAGGTACTTCACACTCTTGTGGTCAGTGAAGATTTGGAAAGTTTCACCATACAATTAGTATCTTAAGAGCAAAAACCAATGCCACCGATTCTAGGTCATGGGTAGGGTAGGATTTTTCATATGGTCGCAATTGTCTTGCGGTATAAGAATTCTCATTCCTATTTTGCATTAGAACACAACTCAAGCCTTGATGCGAGACATCACTGTAAACCACAAAACTACCTATCCCTACTGGTAGTGCTAAGCCAGGAGCAGTTGTGAGTTTCGTCTTTAACTCCACAAAAATGGCTTGGCATTCAGAACTCCACACATAGGGATGATATTTCCTTAACAATTTTGTCAATGGCTAGGTGATGATAGAAAATATCTCGATGAACCTTCTGTAATAACCTACCATTCCCAAGAAACTTCGTAGCTCGGGCACACTCTTCGGTGGTTCCCACTTCACCACGGCTTTCACCTTCACACTTGCTAAATTTAGCATACAAGCGCTTCTCCCTCAAGATTTGAAGGATTATCCTCAAACGCTCTCTATGCTCTTCTTCACTTCTAGAATACACCAAGATATTGTCTATGAAAACTATCACAAACTTATCTAGATACTCTTGGAAGAACTTGTTCATCAATGCCATAAAATCAGCTGGAGCATTTTTTAGTCCAAATGGCATAACAAGGAATTTGTAATTTCCATACCTCGTATGGAAATCCGTTTTAGGTATGGCTTACTCTGCCACCTTTAATTGATGATATCCCGACCTTAAATCAATTTCAGAGAAGACTTTTTACCCTTGCAATTGGTCAAATAAATCATCAATACAGAGCAAGGGATATTTATTCTTTACAATCACCTTGTTAATCCTTCGGTAATCAATGCATAGCCGTAGAGTTCCATCCCTCTTCTTCACAAAAAGTACGAGAGCACCCCACAGTGACACACTTGGCCTTATGAATCCCTTATCTAGCAACTCTTGAAGTTTCTCTTTCAACTCCACAAGTGCCATCCTATATGGTGCTATAGAAATAGGTGTGATGTCCGGTAGAAATTCGATAGTGAATTCTACCTCCCGATCAGGAGGTAGTCCTGGTAGGTTGAATGGAAGCACATCCAGGAATTCATTCACTACTTCTACATCTTCCGAATTTTTCTCTCCTTTAACCTCTGCTTCATGGGCAAGGAAGGCCATACACCCCTGTTTAGTCAAGCTCAACACCTTGGAAGCAAGTATTAGGAAACTAGGTATTGTTTGCCGAATTCCACTAAAAACAACAGTTTCTTGCTCGGATACCTCAAATACTACTTCTTTTGTGTGACATTTTACTACAATACTATGTCGACTCAACCAATCCATTTCAAATATCACATCAAATTCATCAAAATGGAGTAGCATCAAGTCAGTAAGCAAAGCTACTCCAGATACGATCATAGGACAATCAACATAAACGTGACTGACTACAATAGTATCACCAACGAGGATTTTCACAATTATGTTGCTAGGCAATAATTCAGGTCGAGCATGCATATGTTGTGAAAATTTATGGGACACGAACGAGTGTGTAGAACCAGGATCAATTAAGGCATAAGCGGGTTTATCATGGATGAGAACCATACCGGTAACCACTTCTAGAGATGCATTCGCCTATGTTCTTGTCATAGAAAATGCACGTGGTTTTAGGTTAGCTCTGCCCGTTTGGCCAACTGTATACCCCCTGACCTCAGAACCACATCCTTATCCCCTGCTAACTCCACCTCTAAGATTTCCCCTTGAGAAGTTACTGATCACTAGTGATCCCCGCATAGTATTTTGGAACCTAACCAGAACTGGATCTTCCCAAGTTGGACAATCTTTAATGAGATGCTCGAAACCACCGCATTTGAAACAAGCACCAGTCATGATTCGACACTCTCCCTGGTGCATCCTTCCACAATGCGCACACTCAGGTGGTGAAGGCGCACCCACTGGGTTTGGGAAGCATGTCCCCTAGGGAAACTTACTCGAGGACGCTAAGTAAAGTTCCCCTTACTAGGACCCCAACTAGAAGCTCCACTTTGACATGCTGAGGATGACCCCTTCCACTTCTGTTTCCTATCATCAATCACGTAACTTTGAATACAAGGCTGGTTCTCATTTAAAATCAATTCAACTCTTACTGCGACAACCTTCAGTTTGCCATAACCATCCGTATCAGACATGCCTAGAACTCCCTTAACTCTTCGCGAAGCCCCCTCTTAAATTGAAGCCACTTATCTTATCTTTTTGAGTTGGGACCATATCCATGGAAAAAGTCATCAAACGGAAAGGTCAATTCATATTCATTCGCCATCTGGCATTCCTTTTGCTTCAATATTAAGAACACCACCTTCTTCTGATCTTTGTAAACGATTTGCACATATTGCTCTTTGAATAGACGGATAAAATCGTTCAAAGTGAGTTAGGTAGTATTATCCACAACTCCGGATACGGTTAACCACCACTCAAAGGCATTCTTTTCGAGAGGAGTTACAACATAATCGAACTTGACATCATCAGGACAAACAATTTGATTGAGAATGCGCTCGGTCTTTTTCAACCAATCTACAACTACCTTAGATTGGTTATTAGTCTGAGGCTCAACCTGATTTTTGGGAGGAGGCCGATTCGAACCTGCTACTTGAGGTGGCGGGGAACACTCTTTTCCTCTTGGACTGAACTCCACATGAAAATAACATAGTAATACGACCCTAGGGGGGTTGTATGTTTATCAAAGTACGCATCTCTTTCAACTCAACGGATTGAATTGAATATAATACCAAAAACAGGATGCTTTTGGTACGATTTGGGATGGGTTTGAACCAAAAGGACAAATCCTCGCTTGGGGATAAGCCCGATCAGTTTCAAAGGGTAGAAACACTACTCAAACAAGTGGGAATCAATTGAAAGAGAAGTCTGCAAGCCTAGGAAGAATCCAAGACCAAAATCAAGCTCGCAAGCTTAATGGGGTTAACTCCTAGGAGTAACTTTCATTCAAGCTCCAACTAGTACAACGAAAAGGGAAGGATATTTAGAGCCAAGAAAACCTAATAAAAACCTAAATGAACAAGGAAACAAATAAGGTAAAAGTATACTCTAAAATTTTTACAAAATTCGGACTCAAACTCTCTTTCTTCATGCACAAATAAGGCGACTGCTGGTTCACAACAGTGGTAACCTGGCGGTTGATTAAATAAAAGACAGTGTGAACTGCCTCCACCCAGAAGCCAGCTGGAACATGTGAGTGGATAAGAAGAGCCCGAGTAAGATCAAGGACGTGACGGTGCTTCCTCTCCACCAATTCATTCTGCTGGGAAACACCTGGGCACGAGAGTTGAGAGATAATTCCATGCTGTCAATAGAAAGCAAGTAAGGGATTCGAGTTGAACTCCCCACCGGGATCGGAACGAACAATCTTAACCGTCTTCCCAAACTGAGTACGGACCATCTGGATAAACTAGAGAGCTATCCCACAGAGCTCAGATTTCTTACGCAGGAAATACACCCAGCAGTATCGAGTAGCATGGTCTATAAATAGTGCAAAGTAGCGATAACCCATGCGAGAAGTAGTAGGAGGAGGACCCCACAAGTCGGTGTGAACCAAATCAAAAGCATCAACATATTGCGTATCACTAGATCCAAACGAAATCTGAGTTATTTTTGCCTGAATACAACTAACACAAGGAGTATCATAAGCAGACTGCGAACCCAAAACCCCAGGCAATAGCTTATTTCGAAACATGGTTTTTAAGCGTACAGTATGAGGGTGGCCCAAACGAAAGTGCCACAAATTCCAATCATCAAAGGAAACAGAAAAATAATGCAAATCACTAGCAAAACTCGAGAGATTCTTGGCAGCAGAGGGCGCGTCAACCACCATGTGTCCATTCCCCAAAGGCGAACATGTCTCCAAAGACTCCAAACTGTCTAAGGTGTAAGTGCGCCCACGCTTCGAACCTTTACCCAGCGTCCTCCCCGTGCTCCGATCCTGTACCAGACAGCCATCAAAATCAAATATAACACGACATCTAGTTTCGGCTAACTGACCAACAGAAGCAAGATTGGGAACCAAGCCAGGAACATATAGAGTATCAGATAACATAAGATTAGGCTGTCGAACAGTGCCCATCCCCTGAACAGGAAGACGAGAACCATTTGCCACTTGTAGCTCTTGAGAAGGAGCAATTTTCAAGTTTAAGAAGTGAGCATGAAGACTAGACATGTGATTATAAGCTGCTGAATCAAGATGCCAAGAAATCGGAGTACCTGTCGGAGGAGTAGCCGAGAAAACAGATTGCAATGTCGAAGGGAGAACCTTCTGAAGGGCAGACTGAACAAGTTGCTCAAGAGTCCCAGAGGACAAGGTGGCATGAGCAGGAGGATCACCTAGCAAACTAGCAGAGGGTGCTGGCACGGACTGCAGCGTCGAAGGAAGTTGCACGCCGTACGCAGGAACCGCAGTAGAAGGACGAGAGCCACCAAACTTCCCACGCCGATCTAGACTTGGACAATCGAGCACAATATGACCATCCGTCTTGCAGTAGTTACAATGATTTCTCTTTCGGCAGTGAATCTTAACATGTCCCTTCTCCTGACAATAATGGCACTCAACATGAGGAGGAACGGGATGCTGAAACTGAGGCTTACCAGGGTGGTCCGACAGCAAAAGCGGTTTCCAAGCTAAAAGAACCATGATCTACCTGAGCCTGACTGCACAGTCGTGTCTCTTCACGAATGAGCTCGGCAACAGCATCATCAATAGTAGATATGTTGCGGTGAAGCAACGAAGCACGGACGTGTTCAAATTCAGGACGCAGTTGGCTAAAAACTACATAAGCCGAAGCCGCTTGCGTTCCTGAAGCATAGCTGGGATAACCTGTCCCTTATTAACAACAAGAGACAGCATATCCTCTTCAGTCCAAAGATTAAGAGCAGATTGATAATAGCCACGCACATCAGAGTCACCTTGAGACAGATTCGCAATAGCAGTGGAGACTTCAAATTGCCTAGATGCACTAGTCTGTGAGTAGTGAGAACAGAGATGATGCCACATCTCGTGGGCAGCAGAGAACGAACGCAGACTCAAGGCAATGCTAGGATCCACAACCCCAAGCAAACACGAAGTAAACTGATCGTTATTTGCCGGCTAGTCGATCTTCTCTTTGGTCGTGGCGGTCTCAGCCGGCTAGTCGATCTTCTCTTTGGTCGTGCCGGTCTCAGCCGGCATTGGAAGCGAACCATCCAAATAGGAAAACAGATGCTTCCCCTCAATAAAAACACGGAATTGAAATTCCCATAGGGGAAAGTTTTTTTCATTGAGCCGAGTGGAGACAGCCTCTTTCATGGAATCCATTGCGCACGAGACAGAATTAACTAGGCAGCAGGAAGAGCAAAGAAAGAAAGGAAAATAGGAATACCATATATGTTGTGCGTCCCAAATAAAATAAAATCCAGCCAAGTGGTCGCCGCCAAGAAGAAGCAACCCGCCTAGAAGACGCCGATGAGAAGAAGCAGCTGCAAATCAAGAAAACGTTCCGCAACATCAATCAACCAAAAAGCGTCCGCCAAGAAGAAGAAGCACAAAAGAATGGAGCCAAAAATAGTACCGCCACCGCAAAGCAAGTCCCAAAAAGCAAGTATGAATATCCCACCGCCAAGAAGAAGCGAAAAATAGAATCGCAGCAGACAAATCAATTTCCGAAAATCCCAAAGCCAAGAAGAAGCCAAAAATAGAATTGCAGCCATCACAAAGCAATTTCCAGAATCCCAAAAACCAGCGAAGCAATACTCGAAGAAGAACACGGCAGGCGGAAGCTTGATCCAAATAAATCTCGAAGAAAACTCAAATCACCAACATGAAACACGAAGAACTTCGCGAAGCTCTTATACCATGATAATCTATCTCGAATCAATGAACATAATCATAAACGACACAGGATTTAACGTGGTTCCGCCTTTCAGAAAGGCTTTTACTCCACGGTGGCAAATAGGGTTCTTAGATTAGTTAATCAGCCATTAAGCCAAAAAGGGGCTTAAGTAGGCTGCAGAATACGTAGGAGCTTTACCATAAACCCCGACGTATATCCTCCTCACTCCTCATACAAAAACTATTTACATTTTTAGTCCTCTTAAATTACATATTCTAACATCCTCGTGTCAAAATTTGCACAGAACTGATCCCAAATTAGATCGAAAGAGGGCTGCTCAATCTTCTTCTTCGGAAGAAAAATTATAGCTGCAATGTTATCTGTTCCAGCAGTTTTGGCATTTGCAGCGAGGTTAAGCATACTTCATGACACTGATTCGAACCAGTAGGATTGACCAATTTCACCAGAAATTGATCGGAAAAATTCCCAAGTCGTCGGACGTCACTTTCGTACATGTTCTTGCTCGAACGAATTGGGGGTTTTGAATTCAAGGATCCCCAATCCAATTCAACCATTCCAAGCTCTTCTCCAAGCTTCCAAATGAAGTTCTAAACCTGTTCCCAGCTTCGATTCATTACTGTCGTCGTCAATTCATCGAGTTTCACATTCCCACCGTCGTTGAAGTTTGAATTTCGCGAACCCAGAATTTTGAATTCGAATTTGGGGGGTTTGATTCCAAGTTTATTCGAGATGAATTGGAGCTTCCTACAGCTTCCCGGATCCATCTTGAATGCTTCTACTGCGATTTGGTGCGACTCATCCTCGATTGCCCCAACCAATTCGGAGTTGAATTGTTCGGCGTTCTACATTTGTGAGCTCGATTTACCCGAATTGGGCGTTTTCGAATTTTTTTTCCTTTCGTCCCTATTCGACTCATCCTAAATGTTCCATGATCATCTAGGAAATTTCCCGCATCATTGGTTTGGCTCGAATCGGTCCCCAACTCGCAGACGAGATACCTAGTTTTGAAGTCATACTTTGGCAGTTTCAGAGGCAGACAATCGTTCAGGCTGAATTTTATCAACATTACACATTTATGGGACTTCCTTTAACGTGTTTATGAAGACCGCTTTCTTTGAATCATCCCCATATAGTACGGCGAGGTCATCAATTTCGAAACTTTGTTCCGTCGAGAAGTGGCAGAGCTGCTGAGTTCTTTCAATGGATGTTTTTTATCACCTATAGTCTGTTTGGGTGCTTCCTGTCGATTTTGAATCATTCTTTCAGACCCTAGGAGGACGAGGGGGTAACCTTGGGCTTCGATTCGGCTTCAAGTGCCAAAACACCTTCCACAGGACGAGCACTCTGTTTTACCGGCAAAAAACAAGGGTCGCGGCAGCCACTTGATTCTGACTCTAGAAATTCCTTTCGAAGCTTTCTCATACTAATAAAATTGAACCTGAATTGTCTCTAAACCCACAATTGAGCTTGAGATTCTTTCCCCATGTTTCGATTCGACTCCAATTGCTTCAGATCACCATAAACTTTGCCGGAGAAAGAGGCTTCAACACAAATTTCTTAACGTGATGCTTAACTTCGTAACGATTGGTTCAACCATCATGGGAAACTTCAAGATATAATTGTCAAGGCCTTCCAAGCATTAGATGAACATTATGCATCGGTACAACGTCACAATTTACCTCGTCTTGGTAATTGTCGAGTTGAAAATGAACCAAAGCTTGTTTCGTTACATTTATCTTACCGTGTTCGTTGATCCAGCTGAGTTCGTACGGCTCAGGATGCCTTTGTGTCGTCAATCCGAGCTTTCGGACGGCTTCTAGGCTAATAACGTCTTCACAGGAGCCTCCATTGATTACTAGCGAAAGTAATTTTCCCTCGACAAAGCATCCACTGTGAAATAAATGATATCGCTGCTCGTCGGATTCTTGAATCTGAACTGGAGCTATTGGCCACTTATCTTGGCCAACAATTTGCAGATTCTTTGCCTCTCTACTTCCACGTACTAGCTCCTTCACCTTGGTCGAATTTTCCATTGCAATTCAAGTTCGAAAAAGGGGCTGCTCCTCCCTGTTTTTCGACGAATTCTGCTTGTATGAAACAGCAGGTTTTCGTACTCTTCTTTGCCCTTGTGTAGAACAGGGCTCTGATACCACTTAATACAACCCTAGGGGGGTTGTATGTTTATCAAAGTACGCAGATCTTTCAATTCAATCCATTGAATTGAATATGATACCAAAAATAAGATGCTTTTGGCACGATTTGAGATGGGTTTGAACCAAAAGGACAAATCCTCACTTGGCGATAAGCTCGATCAGTTTCAAAGGGTAGAAACACTACTCAAACAAGTGGGAATCGCCTTAAAGAGAATTCTGCAAGCCTATGACGAATCCAAGACCAAAATCAAGCTCGCAAGCTTATTGGGGTTAACTCCTCGGAGTAACTTTCATTCAACAATTTCTCTCCAAATATTACAACGCAAAGAGAAGGCTATTTATATCCAAGAAAACCTAATACAAACCTAAATGAACAAGGAAACAAATAAGGTAAAAGTCTACTCTAAAAAGGTTACAAAATTCGGACTCAAACTCTCTTTCTTCGAGCAAAAGTATGCTGCCAGCAAAACAGCTTTCAGACTAACTTCGTGCCTTTCGTTCGAGGCCTTCCAAATCTCAAATATTTCATCCAATTCCTTCCCTTTGTATACAAACAGATCCATGCTCCTCGAATTGAGATCCAAAGTAGGCTTCCTAAACCAGTTTTCTGCCTTAGCCATTTTCAGGCAGTTTTTAGCTTTCCAAATGGCAACTTTAGACGTCTGGAAAATGATCTTAATGGCTTCTTCTGGATCAAAAAACCATTTCATTGAGTCAATTCTGAGAACTAAGCCTCCAAAGTAGGCCGCCTGAAATAGTTAAAAAAAAACTCCAAAAATCATAATTCTTCACGTGAGTTGAGATGGATTATTTGGCAAGTAATTATGACTTGTCGATTGATCCGATTTGGATCATATCACAAAGAGAGCAAAATCAGAAACACAATTCTTAAATACATGTTCAACTTGAAATCCATTTTAAAACCATTCAAACTTCATTAAAATCACTTTAATCCCATGGGATCATATCCCAACTCTGATACCACAAAATGTAACACCCTACTGCTACATGTAACATACTAATACTTCATCTCGTGCTCTTGGAATCATCATCACATTATATACTCGTTAAACTTTAGATTTTAACTTCACATTCAGACATGGACATAACACCAGCATACTGTTTACATAACATGCTTAGGAAATTTAAGGTAGTTTTTCCCAAAGCATCAAAAGCAAAGAACCGATCAATGTAAAGTTTGAGTTTAAAATAAATTACTACCCCAACATAGTAGCTTAACATTCATTGGGTACAAAGCTTAAAATATTTAAAACATTTAGTTCAACTTCAAAAGGGAAAACACGTGGAGAGTTTAGTTCCACCGCACACCTTTCAGCCATCCGTCTGACTTTACTAGTTCGATCGAGGCTTATGTCGTTACGTTGGCTCAGAAAGGGGAAAAATATTGGCGGGGATGAGACGCCACTCAATGAGTAATTATTAACCCAATATATACTCCAGTTGCCCATGGTGATCAGGTATAT